CTGGAGAAGTTCCAGAGGAGATATAAGCTAACATTGTGACCATACTTTTTAGGAAAAAGCATAAATAGGATGATCAGGGTAATTATAAGCTAATTAGTCTGACTAATGCTGGGAAATATCATGGAATGACTGATACAGGATTCTATCATAAAGAATTAAAGGATGGTAACATAATTAATGTGACTCAACAGTCAACAAATTTAGGCTAGAAATAAGGCACACATTTTAATAGTAAAGGTAATTTTACTTTTGGAACAGCTTACTTAGGGATGAGAGGATTTCCATCACTGGAAGTCTTTTAAATCAAGATTGGATGTCCTTCTTTAAGATGTACTTTAGCTCAACACAAAGTTATGAGTTTGATGTAGAAAATGCTGGGTGATACTTATGCTTTATGTTATGTAGGAGGTTAGCCTGATGATCAGAATGGTAGGGGCTGGCCTTTAAATCTGAGAGTCTGTGGACATAGTTCTGTGGGAAGTAGGTCTTGTCAAACAGATTTTACAGTATATCATTTTTTGATGAGATTACAATTTTGGTTGATAATGATGTGTTTAAGTCTATTATGTGTTGACAAAATATACTGAGACTTCTGTAAGACATGTGACTTTAAACTTCCTGATCTGATTTAAAAAAATTAGCAGTATACAAAATCAATGAAGCACTTCCTAAATAGATTAAAAACTGCCTAACTGATATAAAAGTAAAGTTGTTAACAAAGAATCATCATAGTGTTTCTAGTTAGGTCTCTCTGGAATCTGTTCTTGGCCCAATGATATTCATGATCTTTTTCAATGATCAGAGAGGAAATTATAAAATCTTTGCTGGTAGGGTTTGCAGATAACACAAATATTAGTAAGGTAGTAAATAATAGTGACAGGTCAGTTATATAGAATGATATGGATTGATGATAAGCTGGGTTCATTCAAACAATATGCATTTCATATAGCCAAATTTACAGTCCAACATCTAGGAACAAAGAATGTGGGTCACACATACAGGATGGGGGACTATATCAATAAGCTCGCTTATTGAGCAGGGCATCTCACTGGGAGCACATGACACCAGTGCTCTGGGATCTGTACTGGCAGCCCATTGGTCTCCGGCAGAGGTGATCCGTGGGGGGCATGCTGGGTCATGTGCCCTCCAGATTCGTTGCTTGGTTTGTACTGAGCATGCTCAGTAGCACTGCTGAAGCCAGCTGCCCTTACTCTGCACCACCATTATCAGCAGGCACGGGTCATCTCTGGTCTCTGGATGGAGTTTAAGATGTTGGTTTGTGACCTATAAATCACTAAATGACATACAACTGGCCTTGCTGATAGACTGCCTCTCTCCTCAGGCCATACTGCTCAGCCACAGTCAGGAGGGTGCACTTGAGCTGGATCTCCCTAGTTATCAAAGAGAAGGGGCAGATGGTAGGGAGTTTTCTGTGAGAGCTCTGAGACTCTGGAACTTGCTCACCCATCATCAGGAAATCGCCGAGGGTATGTTTTCTAGATGATGAAGTGGACAGGTGGCTGGCTGACTGTATTCCTGTGGAACTGATTTCATTTAATTGTATTTACTGTATAATTAATTTTGTTAAGGCATCTAGTGTCTTGGATAGGCATCTTGAGTAAATCTAAATAAATGGAAAAAAAATCCTAAAAAGTAGTGACTCTTAAGAGGACTTAAGGATTATAGCGAATAAGCAACTGGACATGAGCTCCCCGTGTGATGATGTGGCTAAGAGAGCTAATGTGAAATTTGTAAGTAGAAACAGGAGAATATTGAGTAGAAGTATGGTGAAGTTATTACCTTTTTACGTGGCATTGGTCTTTAAATCCTTATTTCGTGTCTTTCTCAAAAGTGTACTTTAGTTCAACCTGATCAAACTTATAGGCTTGATGTAAAAATTAATGGATAAAATTCTGTGTGTTATACAAATAGTCAACTTAGAATAGATGATCATAATGGTCCCTTCTGGTCTCTACATCTATAAATCTTTGTAGAAAATGTCAGTTTCCATTAATTATATCAAGACTAAGCTTGGCTTTTAAGCTTTAAATAAGTGTGGTCCAGTAAAAATACATGATGCTATTCATAAAGAAAAAAGAGGAAATAAACTTGTTCTTATTTCCTAAGAAATACAAGAGTATTAGAAGTAGATAGATAGTTTCAGAAGCAAGAGCAGACAGGTCGACCTATCTATCTGCCCTTTGTGAGATGGTGTACTGCCCTTCCAGGTTTCAGGCACAGAAATCATATGGACTTGAAGTACTCTATACCAAACTGCTCTCAAGAAAAAAAACGCAAAACATTGCAATTATATCTACAACAGGTATATAGTCAGATTCAACAGAAATTAATAAACTGGGTGACGTGAAAGATTGTCTTCATTACAATGCCTTAAGCTCAACAGCCTGCTGATCTTCTCGTGGAAGGACAATGGGAGGTCAGAGGCACAAACTTCAGAGCCTAGAGGAAGGTGTCTTGTCCAAATAAGTGGAGGGAGTATATCTTTATCTCTTTTAACACTTTCTTTCTTATTTTTCTTTCTACTCTTACTGACAGAAGGAAGCACTAAGCCTTGACCTAATATGTTTAAGTTGCATTTTGTTCTTTAAGAGATCTTTTAAATATAGAACCCCAGAAATAGGAAGAGTTGGCTGTAAACCAGAACCCAGAGTTCCTGGTGTCTGTGGGTACATCTCCCTGGCGATAAAAGCCACACGGCATGGCCACAGCTGGCCTGGGTGAGCTGAATCGGGCTTGTGAAGGCTAGCTGTGGGGCTAAAAATTGCTCTGTAGATGTTTGGGCTGGGGCTCACAGGGTTCCAGAGTTCAGGCTTCAGACCAAGCCTGAACATCCACATAGCACTTTTTCAGCACTGGAGCCAAAGCCCAGTGAGCTCAAGTCAGCTGACCCAGGCCAGCTGTGGATTTTTTTATCCCTGTGTAGACACACTTTGTTTGTACAGCTAACCCAGGCAGTGCTAAACCATCCGCCAGCGAACTTGCAGTATCATAGCAGTTTTTCTTGGGTAAATCAGTGGTCTGCAACCTCTGCTAATAAGGATAGGGGTCTCAAAATTACTTTTTGGAGCCCACCAATTGTCGTCATGTTCTAACAGTATGTTGCAACATGTTGACATTTATGCTGTGATGTTCCAAGGGAAGAATTGGTCTCAGTGAGAATTGATCCTGAAGCAGAATTCCAAATACCAGAGCATTCTTTCTACTTTTTCTGTTTGTCAGTAGCCAAGCAGAGGAGTTGACAGTCTATCACAAACATGAAATGGAAATAGTGTTTCTGTGAATCAGAGTGTTTTGCAGTACCATATCAATATATATTTAACCCAGTTAAATTAACCTATTTCTTTCATTTTTAAAGAAAGTTTAATACAACAGAATATCATCCTTTTTCTGGTGCTCATTTGTAGTTTGAAAGTGAATCCCTAGTTCCTAATCTGACAGTCTTTACTATATTGAGTAATCCTTACTAATGAGATTAATTCTGTTGAAGTCAATAGAACTACATAAATCAGTAAGAATAAGGGCTTGCGATAGTGGATATTGGATAGCAAAGAAACTATAATTGTTAGTCTTCCTAAGCAAGACATTCAATGGAAAAATTGCAGTGTCAGGACCCTAGCATTGAACCCAGGTCTCTCAGATGGTATCTTTAGCCATTGTGCCATGGCAATGCATCAAACTGCTGCCCCAACCAACAGCCTTAGTCCTAAAGGCTTACAGGCCCACAGCAGCCAGGCCTCTGATTAGATGGACAGGCACTACTCTCATTGGGTGCCTGGGCTATATAAACACCCCAACAGGAAGAGGAAACTGTCTGAGTGACAGACCATTGCCTGCTGATTAGACCACCTTGCCATGCTTCTCTGCCTGAGCCAACTTGTTGCTTTGCTGTTTTAAAGAACAATGTTGCCATGTTGCCTGACCTCGACTCCCCAACTCACTGACCCAGCCCCTTGGATTGGATCTTCTGGCTGCTGACCCCTGGAAGAACGACGACAATTGCCCCAGGCTGCCTCCAATACAGATTAACCTGTTGGCTATCCAATGACTCATGCACACTTGACTACAGCTCTGGACTGCCCCCTTACCCGCCTTGGCCACTGGGCATTACAAGAAGTTTGCAAACCGCATCAGTTGGCAACAGTTCAGCTGCTGTTGATATCATTTCCTCTCCTAAAAGTGTAACTTGTGATTAATAAATATTTTATGCAAGCAAAACTTCTTTGACAAAAGTATCAAATTCATGATCGACATCTTGGTAAACTATGAACTGTTTTTGTTTTGTTTTTAAAGCAAGTAAAATATGCTAGGTACTTTAGAATGATTTTGCAACATTTATGGACAGTAGAAGGGACTTCAGAATCCTTCAAAAGAGGATGATTTAACAGCACATTTCTACCTTGTCAGCATTAAACTGAAAGCTCAAGTCTTGGGGTGGTATGTGACACTTCTATTAAGAGGCAAGAGTGCTAGCTGCTGAACCTTACTGACACACCAGGCTTTATCTAGTTTTATTTTTTACTGACTCAATAGACCTCTAGAGTATGGGCTATTTAAGTTTAAAGCCTCTATTTCTGTACTTTACCTAGGTTCTGACAACTTTAGTTCTTTTTCTGAGATTAGTAAAGTAATAAACATCTGTGCATTTCAGATGCCAAAATGAGTCCAGCTTCTCCTATCATGTTAGTTGTTAAATCCTGTCCAAAAGATTTCTTATCTGCTGATGCTGGAATTAATGGAGATGCATCCAAAGGAAGCATGTATTTTTATACTGACTCTTAAGATGTTTTTGTTTTAATTTTGTTTTGCAAATTTTATTCAACCATACTTTGCTCTAATCAGCTGAAATGCCTTTGACTTTAATCCAGAACAAGCGTTCTTCCAACATCACAAGTTTGTTTACTGCAGTATTAGAGAGCTAGTTTTTTGTCGCAGTAACTACTCACAGATGCTAATTATTCCTTCTCTTGCCATTTCTTTAGGGGATGTATATCAAGTCAACATACGATGGGCTGCATGTTATCACTGGGACTACTGAAAATGTAAGATGCTTTATTCCAATGAGACTTGTTTATTACACCTACAGTTCGTAAAAGACATGTATCAACAGTATATGTCACATTATGAAGATTTGTTTTAAATCAAGCCACTTTTTATTAATGCTTTAATTTTTTTAGTATCTTCATTATTATGTAAAAAATATATATACAGCAGATGCCGCTGAATAGCAATGCTGATATCAACAACTTCTAGTTAATAGCAGTGTTTTGCTGGGTGCCAGTCCTGTCCCATTGACTTTAATATTAGTAGGATTTGGATATTGGCAACAGGCATGCCACTTATTGACAGCTTTTAGACATGGAGGGATAGCTCAGTGGTTTGAGCGTTGGCCTGCTAAACCCAGGCTTGTGAGTTCAATCGTTGAGGGGGCCACTTAGGGATCTGGGGCAAAAATTGGGGATTGGCCCTGCTTTGAGCAGGGGGTTGGACTAGATGACCTCCTGAGGTCCCTTCCAACCCTGAGATTCTATGATTCTATGTCTTCCCTGGCTGCCGCCCCACAAACCTGTCTGCAGCTGGGAGGGGAGGCTTCTGTGAGGGGGCAGCAGGAGGGAGGACACTGCAGCCCAGCTGCCAAGACTTTCTATGGGGAGCAGGGGTGCTGGAGGGCTGCAGGGTACCTCTCCTCGTGCTCTTTGGGTTGTGCCCTGTCCTGGCACCATCTCAGTGCTTCCTTCCTTCCCACAAAGCCCCAGTGTTGCCATTCTGCAACCAGGGTAGGAAGTGCTAGGATGTGCTGAGCACCATCTGTAGGCAGGTTTGGAGGGCTGCAGCCTAAGAAGGCACTTCAAATAATAGCATCTCTTTTCTGAGAACCAACAGGCTGCTAATAAGCAGAATCCACTGTGTTTCTTCCTTAAAAGATGTACATCCTTTTAATAGTATCTATTTACTGATTTTAAAACCATTAACATTATATACATAGAAACAAAATAAAATGAAGAGCAACAAAGGCCTTAAAAAACCAAAATCCCACATGTTGACCCCACCACACTTCCCTAATGAGCTCGTGTACACAATTTCCCACTTGCAAATTTTTGCTTTTATAGGAGATACATTTTTCGCACATGATATTGTTCATTGTTGTCATTAATCTTATATAATTTCTGTCATGTCAAAATGTCAGTCTTCTAAATCATGACTAAAGAGATCTTCCGCCTGTTCTGGATCAATTTCTATGCATAATCAAAGGCAATTGCTATCAATTTTTAAAGACTTTTTTTATCTCATGTGTCGATAGAAAAGCATGTAGTAAATATAAGTCAGACTCGGTAATTTCTGATTCTGTATTTTATAGACTTTATCAATTTTGGTAGAAATGTCTCTTAGGTCATTTCTTAATGTGTCCAAATACTAACCTGCACTGTTTCTTAAAAAAATATAATTTTAATATATTATAACTGTCCAAGCACTGATTATCACACACCTGGATTACTGTAATCACCTTCTCTGGGCTTAATGCCTGCATTCTTCCCCCCGTCAAGTTCATTCAACAGGCTGCTAAAATCATTTTCCTAGTCTGTCATTCTGACTCTCTCCCCCTCTCTGTCTTTCACTATGTCAAACACAATTTTTTGTCCCAACTTACAAAGCCCTCCACAACTTAGCTCTCCCCTTCCTATCCTACCTCTTATATTATCATAAGATTGACTCCTGCCTTCGGTTTATTAATGGTGTGAGCCTCTGATTCTCCATTTCTCTTACAAGCACCTTCACATTTTCTCCCATGCTGCTCCTTACAAATGAGAGAAACTCCCAGTCAAAATCGATAAAGCCAGCACATAAGCCTCCTTCATGTCCCTCCTCTAAACCTGCTTCTTCCATAGTGCATCAGGAATGGCTTGGCAGGTGGAGAGTTGTGATTGTTGTTGCTGATTGTCTGAGAATCATTGCACACGTCCTCTTTTTTTTAACCCTTTCTCTCCTGCTCCACAACTTGACCCACCATTTGTTGTTTCCACCTATTATGTGTTGTCCTTTCGATTGTAAGCTCTTTGAGACAGGGACTTTCACTTTCTATGTTTGTACAGCCCATAGCACAGTAGGGCCATAACCAGACACCTAGACAATATGGCATTAAAAAGGTTAAATATTAATAATAGATGAAAAATATTCTACTTAGTAAACACCATTATATTCAGAGAGTTAGCTAAAACAGAGTGGAGTGTATCACATACTTTTCATATTAATATTTAGTACATTTCTTACATTGTTAGTTAATTTTCCCAGTGAATCTCTCCTGTGAGTTTTGTGTAAGTTGGCTATTTTTATATAGAGACTTCATGCTAAGAATTTGGCATATGTCTTACTCTATATTTAGTAGTGATGTACTGTAGGCTAGTATTAATGTATATATTAGATCATAATTATTTCTAAACTTAGTAATGATATGCTGTAGACTAGGATTGCCAAGTCTGACTGAAGCTATTCTGGGAGATGTTTTCCCCAACATGACATAATGTAATTTTATTAAAATATCCTATTAAAATCTCCAAGATTGCTTTCAATAGTCACTGGGAGATCGATGCTGATTCTGGGAGATTCTAGGCCAATCCTGGAGGGTTGGCAACCCTACTGTAGACTGGTATTTCCTAAACTACTGAAAAAAGATAAATGAGTATCTCTCTTTTTCACAACTAAGATGAGGCACGAATATATCTTTTCCTGGTCTTTAAGAAGGCCAACTGTAATATGGGGCAGTCACAGGGTGACCCTGGCCCTTTAAGAGGGAGCAGCACCAGAGTACCTGTGCCTAGTTAGCTGACCCCAGTTCAGTTTAAAAGCGGGCATCTGGGCCAGAGGAAGATCCAGTGAGAGAGAGACTGTCACCTGGTGAGTCAGAACTAGGAAGCTGCAGGGTGTAGAAGCAGCAGGACTTCCAGAATTTTCTGGGAGGGCAGGCAGTGAGTGCCTGGGAAATACTGCAGAAAACAGGAGCAGCCTAAGAGGCGAGTGAGTGAGAACCTGAGAGGAACTGTTCGTAAAATGGTATCCAGGGAGAAAGGCCTTGGGTGATGGTGCTCAGGGAACAGGGCACAGAAGCAGGCCCACCTGCCAGAGTCCCTGGAAAGGGGAGGCAGTGAGAGCCTGAGAGCTAAAGGGAGGGAAAGTCCCCTGGGGACTGTAGCCAAGGATGAGTTGAAAAACTCTTTTTGTTTGCTTTGCCTATGTTTGAGAAATAAAACTCCCCAGAAGAAACTGTGGGCATGCCAGTTGATGCTTTGCCAGCTGGGGAGAAGCCCTGCCTTTTTACAGGCAGTTTATTTGTGAATGTATATCCACCTAATACCTGTTTAGTTGTGCTGCCTCAGACACAACAGGAAGGTTTTGTATGTACATACAGTGTCCATGAATGAAGCTGAAAAGTGCCAAGCACCTTCAACTGCCAGAATTGGGTAGAACAGACATTCATAACATTACAGAGTCAAAGATGAGAGCATTTGCTGTTTGGCAGCCCTTAATATACTACAATGGTGCTATTTATATACTAACATTGCTATGCAATGGTGAATAATTTTCTGTTAAATGTTCTTTTGCTTCCTTGTGTAATCAGAATGGATTGTAAAAATGTGCTAGAACTAGTCTTAGCCAACCTAATCTAATCTAAAGGTTAACAGGCTTTATTAACCACGGCAGAAAAATGACCACTGTTGACTTTTAGAGGAGATATCAGGCAAATGTGTACACCTTTCACTCTGTCATACTACATTTGCTAGGATTGACTCATAGAAACTGTATCTTAAACTCTTTACAGAATTAGGTCATAAAAGAAATCTAATTGTGTGTGTGTGTGTGTGTGTAGTGGTATAGATAATTGAAGCAAACAGACATATGCCCAGAAGAAAATTTGACAGGCATAGGCAATAGTGGAAGATACATTTAAAGAAGAGATTTGAAAAGTAGTCAGTGATGCACAGATATAGAAGGAGGTCTGAGGTGATAGGCACTGCTGAGGAGAAAACGATCATGCTAACAGTGGAAAGATTGGTTTCAGAGGAACAGCCGTGTTAGTCTGTATTCGCAAAAAGAAAAGGAGTACTTGTGGCACCTTAGAGACTAACCAATTTATTTGAGCATGAGCTTTCGTGAGCTACAGCTCACTTGATGCAGTGAGCTGTAGCTCACGAAAGCTCATGCTCAAATAAATTGGTTAGTCTCTAAGGTGCCACAAGTACTCCTTTTCTTTTTAGTGGAAAGATTGTGGGAAAGGGAAAACTGAGACCGGGACTATATGAGAAGGGAGAGTTGGAAAGGAATAGGAAGACAAAAATCTATGGGGGAAAAATAAAAACAAGGCAAGGCAATTTTGAACTCAATACAAAAATAGATGGTTAGCTAGTACAGGTTTCAGAGGAACAGCCGTGTTAGTCTGTATTCGCAAAAAGAAAAGGAGTACTTGTGGCACCTTAGAGACTAACCAATTTATTTGAGCATGAGCTTTCGTGAGCTACAGCTCACTTCATCAGATGTTTACCGTGGAAACTGCAGCAGACTTTATATACACACAGAGAATATGAAACAATACCTCCTCCCACCCCACTGTCCTGCTGGTAATAGCTTATCTAAAGTGAGCTCACTTTAGATAAGCTATTACCAGCAGGACAGTGGGGTGGGAGGAGGTATTGTTTCATATTCTCTGTGTGTATATAAAGTCTGCTGCAGTTTCCACGGTAAACATCTGATGAAGTGAGCTGTAGCTCACGAAAGCTCATGCTCAAATAAATTGGTTAGTCTCTAAGGTGCCACAAGTACTCCTTTCCTTTTAGCTAGTACAGTTATTTGAGGATGGAAGTGGAAATTCCCACTCTTTGGTATATGTGAGAAAGTAGCCTGCAGAATTCTATACATTCTGGAGTTTGAAGAGCTGAGGCCTGTGGAGGGCATTGAGGAGCATGTTACGTTATCAAGAAGAAAGGAAATGAAGTCATGAACTGGGATTGCGGCAGGGAGGGAATCAGGTCAGTTGTGTATCCAGGCAATG